TGTGTGTGTGCTCCTATCAGTAAAAAAAGCCACTATGGACTATGTCAGGATTATGGACCAGTCTGTGTGTTTTTCTCCCCATGTGCTCCATGACCTAGTTTTCTCCCTTGTCTTATTGCTTCATTTGATTCGCCTGTGCTCGTCAATTACCCCTCGTTTAGCCATGTATTTAAAGTGTTGTCTGCCCCATGTTTCCCGGTCCAGTGTTATACGTCTTCATGGAAGTGCTACGTGTGTGTCCTGCCTGTATTTCCCCTTTCTGTGGATTATTAAAGACTGTTTAGTGTGATTCTCCTACGTCTACGCGGTCCTTCATTCCTCACAGTAGCAACCCTGACACATATGTAGGTGTAGTCATAAACAGAAAAAAATACTGTGATATACATTATTTATAACTATATTACATTAATTAATATGACATATTTAAGGTGCATGTGTAGTTCATTCTTACCAATGTTTGCTCTCATGTACATATTTAATGAAGCTTTACTGACTTATCATTGCTCCTCGTTTTTCTTCTTTCTCCTCTTTCTGTGACATGCAGTGAAGTCACTGTCAGCGAAGGAGAATGATTCTGTCATCCTAAAAAGACTAATACTGAAATACAGACTGGTAATGAGATACTGTGGCTGTTTGGATCTGAAGACACTCTCAGCTGAAATCAAAGGAAAGACCAGAAAGATCTCTATATATGACAATGTTCCTGATGGGAGATTCACAAAGGCAGACTGGAGCTGGACAAAGCGACTGGATCACTGACCATCAAAAACATCAACACCTGATCACGCTGGACTCTTTAAACTACTGATCCTCAGCAGAGGAAGAAAAGTCTTTGTTTATGTCAAAGGTGAGTATCTCAAGTCTGTGAATGTATTAACAATCACTGTTCTTCCTCATGCATTCTGTTGTTCTTTTTCTGCAGTTAATTCAGCTCAAACTGCTTAATATACTAATTTAAAACTTGTATGTGTGAATGTGAGAACATGAGTAGCACAAATCTCACTGACAAATAAGTGGAAGAATATAAAGCAGAGAAATCAAGAAAAGAGTAGAGACAATGAACTGGAGCGTGAGGGGAAATGAAAACAAAAAAGAAGAAGAAGAGAGGGAGACGTTTATTTGTAAAGGTAGTTTGACCTCCAAATCTTCTCTTTTTATTTTCTCTTACTATAATACTCTTTATTTTTATTCAAATTCCACAGAAGTGAATGAATCAGTAACTGTAGAGATACGGCTGTTGAATGGAGAGGATGTGGATGTAGTGAATGAGGAGGAGGGGACGAGTTCACTTTAATAACATAAGACCCGCCCACCAGTGTCAATCACTCTGACACACACACACACACACACACACACACACTTCTCATCCTCTAGTCTTAATCAGATCTGAATGTCAAAATTGTAAATGCAATCTGAATTTATAGTGCCTTTGAATTCATGCTGAAGTATGAATGTATTGTTTTTATTAATTTTGACAAAAAAACATCTGCTTGATGAATAAATATTCACAAGATATTGATATGCCGCTGATCTTAATGTTGTATCATTTCTGTCCTCTAGTGGACAAACACTGATACAGCTTTTGCTTCCTAACAACTGTTTTCACATGAAATGCATGAAAATGTACCTGAATATAAAAAGACAAATTGTGTGAAACATGTTGCTGCATACTGTATGTTCTATGATTGATGTACAAAATCAGATCTACAGAGTAAACTGAATATGACCAGATATAGTTGAGGGGGAAAAAGCACATAAAATCAAATTATTTTCTAGTTGTGTTAGTTGAAATCACAAACACCCAGGGAGCTATAAAATCAGATTTTGTTTAATTACTCACTGAATGAAACAGTGTGGAATGATGATAATAATAATAATAATAATGTTTGTGTGTCAATTGAAATAGGACGTTTTAAATTATATTTATTACATTTTGTTTTTATTATTTTACAGTTTAAAAGTACCATCTAGACAGGCTTTTGTTGCAATTCAAGAATTTTTATTGCAATTCATGAAAAGACTTGTAAATGCACTTCTTCAGCACACGATGGCAGTAGAAGAAAACTGAAATAAGAAATGTTAGAAAGTGGGATATGAGCCCTGTCTTGCATTGTAATGTACAAATTGTACAATAAAATTATTAAAAACAAAAAACAGTAAAGATGTTTACAATGAATAAACATTGCTATTTAAAATCATTTTAATTCACATTTCTATTTTCTATTTCATATTTTTAATCTGTTCAATACTTTCGGTTCATCATCAAAAAAACGTATAAAACACCACATATTTAAGATTTGAATAAGCAGCACAACCTTTTTCAGTGAAGAAGAAGCAGGAGGATGAGGAAGAGGGTAATTTTGTGAAAATGCAAACAATACAAGAGCAAGTTATCAACATGATTGTCAATCAGTATAAAAATGGATCAAAGAAGCAAAGTGATAATTTACAAATTTTGAACATACCAGCTCCTAAAGGACTGAAATATCCAATAGTATCCAGCTGCAGACCCGCAGCACCAGCAGTTTCAGAACCGCAGCCACAGAACCGGAAGTGAGGGGCGGAGCTTACTTTTTTTTAACAGAGTAGCGCCACCTCACGGTTTTTAAGGGGTAATTTGCTTTTATTACACACGATACATCATACTTTATGCATTTTATAATGACATATTAAGCAGTTTATAAACATTATATACATCTTGTGTAATTTAGTTGTAGACCTATAGTTATTAGTTTCATTGTATTATGCGAGTTATTTCCTGTTTGTGATATTAAAAATAATGTTTGAAACTTCTAGGCATTTTATATGTAGAATATTAAAGGAAAATGTAACTTTAATATTTCTTATTAATATGTGTATATAGATGGATAGATTTGAGACATACCTCACAAGCGTAGCCTGCTCTCCACTTGGAAGGGCCTCTGGTAGGGTTTCTGCACTGTAATATACATGTATCTTGGTTAATTTCAAATTGGTCAGAAGGGGATGCAAATGTAATGGTGTGCTGGAGGAAATGTCCACTACCTTTCAGAGAAAACCATCTGGAGTCCACCATCTCCGTATGATTGGAATGTCACACTGGAAGACACAAACATAGAGAAATCTTTAAATATCAACTGCTACAACATCATAAAGGTCAATTACTTTAACTGATAACTACTTCCAGATGTAAAATCAAAGGGTGCTCCCAAGACAAGATGTACTGGAAAACAACAAAAAACAAGAATATTCTCCCTGTATATGGCACAAAAAAACCCTACCTTGTTCCTTATTTAACAACTAAATAATCACACCAATAACTGGTTGCAAAAATTTATAGTATAGCCTAAAATAAATAAATAAATAAGTACACAGGTAAACTATTATGCAATAATAAATTGTGAGTACATACATTAAACAAACAACTCAAGATATGCATACCTCCACAGACAACTGCATGTTGAAGTGGATTTGAAGATTACTTTTTAATTTGACCAGTTTGGTTGGCTTAAACATGCTGGTCAAGCAGAACACTGCTGGTGATTGTTGTAACACTTGTTGCACTGCTGCAGCTCAGGTAATGTGTCACCTCTCTGAATCCTTATATGTCTCTACAAGAGATGAAGACACACACAATTATCTCAATGATGACAAATGGGATTAAAATAACTAAACTACAAGGTAATATTAAAACACAAACAATGCATATAACAGAGGGAATTAAAGCAAAACGATTTATTTTTATGAATAATAAACGTCTTCAAATCTTCACCACAAGGCCCATTTACAGCATGCATCCGAAAATTAATCGAAACAGCCACAGAAAAAAGTTATATACTATAAAGTATGACAACAAATTCAAGTTTCAATATAAGATAATAAAGCCAAGCACACATTAAGTACTTAGCAGATAAATGTTTAACGTAATATTTACGATAATTATCAAACATATGATAGCAAAAACATTACAGACTACTCACCGTGCTCTCTCGTTGTCAATAGCTCCTCCCCTCACTTCCGGTTCTGTGGCTGCGGATCTCAAACTGCTGGTGCTGCGGGTCTGCAGCTGGATATATCTCGAAATATCAGAGTGAGGAGCGATTTTCATATTCAGTCACAAGAGAGAGCTACAGCAGCTTCATCAGGAGAGCGAAAGTGAAAGTGACCGAGGATGAGCTCTGCATTTATCCCATTCAAGTGAACACACACACACACACACACACACACACACACACACACACACAAAGAGCAGGTGGGGGCTGTCTTGCATTGTAATGTACAAATTGTACAATAAAATTATTAAAAACAAAAAACAGTAAAGATGTTTACAATGAATAAACATTGCTATTTAAAATCATTTTAATTCACATTTCTATTTTCTATTTCATATTTTTAATCTGTTCTAAGCTTTTGGTTCATCATCAAAAAGAAAAAAAAAACTTAAAAAACACCACCACATATTTAAGATTTGAATAAGCAGCACAACTGTTTTCAATGAAGAAGAAGCAGAAGAATGAGGAAGAGGGTAATTTGTAAAAATGCAAACAATACAAGAGCAAGATATCAACATGATTTTCAATCAGTATAAAATGGATCAAAGAAGCAAAGTGATAATTAACATTTTCCACATATCAGCTCCTAAAGGACTGAAATATCAGAGTGAGGAGCGATTTTCATATTCAGTCACAAGAGAGAGCTACAGCAGCTTCATCAGGAGAGCGAAAGTGAAAGTGACCGAGCATGAGCTCTGCATTTATCCCATTCAAGTGAACACACGCACACACACACACACACACACACACACACACACACACACACACACACACACACACACACAAGGAGCAGTTGGGGGTTAGGAGCCTTGCTCAGTCGTGGTACAGAGTACTGTACATTCACTCCTCTCACCTACAATCCCTGGTAACAAATAAAGTATAATGTAATGAAATATTTCCAATTTCATATGTTGCTTGAAAATACATTTATTTCATCAAACTACACATATTCGTTTGTATGGCCTTCAAAGAAGGAAGATGCCCTGCGTCTCCAGATAATGTAGTTACAACATCCACCAGCAGTGGTGATCATGGACCGGAAGAGAAGAGAGAGAACAATACACAACATAAAGCCATGATAATACAAGTACTGTGAAAATCCTCCAAATATTATATATCCATCTCAAAACAGAGGATTTTAATAACCTTCACTATGATAGACATTTAGTCAGAGTTCAGTGAGGAAAGTGAGCTGCTATATAACAAGTCAGTTGATATTTCCTCATCAAACACACAGATCACTGAATAATATACTGAGAGTTTCACAGGAGCTTCTAGTGATGATGATCAGATCAAATCTGAATTAAAATCAAAAACAGGATCAGGTGGTGATCACATAACTGATACAATAATTTAGGTCTTTGACATGTTCGGTCACTAGTTGGCGCTCCAGCAGAGTCTTTAGGAGACATGTACTGTCTGTACACCATTAAAGGGGTCATATGATGCGATTTCAATTTTTCCTTTCTCTTTGGAGTGTTACAAGCTCTTGGTGCATAAAGAAGATCTGTAAAGTTGCAAAGACTAAAGTCTCATTGTTTGAATGGCCTTCAAAGAAGGAAGATGCCCTGCGTCTCCAGACTAACCCAGATAGTGTAGTTACAACATCCACCAGCAGAGGTGATCATGGACCGGAAGAGAAGAGAGAGAACAATACACAACATAAAGCCATGATAATACAAGTACTGTGAAAATCCTCCAAATATTATATATCCATCTCAAAACAGAGGATTTTAATAACCTTCACTATGATAGACATTTAGTCAGAGTTCAGTGAGGAAACTGAGCTGCTATATAACAAGTCAGTTGATATTTCCTCATCAAACACACAGATCACTGAATAATATACTGAGAGTTTCACAGGAGCTTCTAGTGATGATGATCAGATCAAATCTGAATTAAAATCAAAAACAGGATCAGGTGGTGATCACATAACTGATACAATAATTTAGGTCTTTGACATGTTCGGTCACTAGTTGGCGCTCCAGCAGAGTCTTTAGGAGACATGTACTGTCTGTACACCATTAAAGGGGTCATATGATGCGATTTCAAGTTTTCCTTTCTCTTTGGAGTGTTACAAGCTCTTGGTGCATAAAGAAGATCTGTAAAGTTGCAAAGACTAAAGTCTCAAATCCAAAGAGATATTCTTTATAAAAGTTAAAAGTTAACCACGCCTACCTAAAACGCCTCGTTCTAACACGATGTGGGAAGATTTGCATAACGCCGCCCAAATGTTCACGCAAAGAAAGAAGGCGTAACTTTTATTCTCGCTGTAGTATTATTGTTGCTGCCGCCATGTCGTGAAGGCGCTGTGTGATTCTTTATGAAAGTGAAACTACTTTGTTTGGCCTTCCAAAAGAGGATGATATCTGCTTCCTCATGCCTAGAGCTGATCCGTGCTGGTTGCTGAGAAAATACTTCAACTTAGTGCTGTGGATCGCCGGATCGGCTTTCACTATGGACGAAGCGGAGTCCAACCCGGGGTCGTCACATGTGGTTGCCGCAGGTATCACAGTATGGTAAGGGACGTAACATTTCCATCACACGCTTGAAGTATTCAGCCAATCACAACGCACTGGATAGCTGGCCAATGAGAGCACATCTCGCTTTTTCAGACCGATGAGCTTTGTAAAAATCGACTCGTTTCAGAAAGGCGGGCATAGAGGAGAAACAATAATGTACAGTATGTGGAAAATAATGTTTTTTTTAACCTTAAACCGCACATTTCATTACACCAAATACTCAAAAGAATGTTATTTTTAGCAGCATCATATGATCCCTTTAATCTGAGTTAAAATGACTGAATGTGAAGATTAAAAAACATTCTGACATGAAGATTGGTAATTTAGAATAATTCATTTGATATCCTATAATGATCAACTGTCTGTGTGTGATGTTTGACCTTTTGACCTTTAGTCTAAATCATTCACACAGTGACAATAAAACCGTTAAAAATCAATTGTAAATGGTTCAAAATTGATATAATATTATTCAAAAGAGTAATATTGCAGAAGTGAGTCATATTGAGTAATCAGGATTCATTTATCCTTTCAGTCAACACAGATGAGTAGATCCTGATCCTGTACACGCTCTCATTATCTGTGTACTGTTGTGTGCTCTCCTGTAATTTTTAAGAATGTGATATATCAACAAGATTTGATTTTGTTATATAAAGCAGATCTGAATGCTATTATTTAGTATTAAAAACAATATTTCCAATACACTGGTCAGTTTCTTCTCTGGTTTTCACACTGCATCTCTGTCTCACACGTATAATCCCAGAAGTATCAGGATCATTTTGGCTCCTGAGAGCTTCAGTTTCTGAAAGCACTGTTTATCAGCATTTATTCTAGCAGAAGCTCATTAAATCACATTGTGTTTAAATGTTAAAGTGTCTCTGCACTCGCAGTTCTTCTCTCTCATTTAATCTCAATTGATCATTTGCTACTATATTCACACAAAATACATGCTTTGTTGATGTGAATGATTCAGATTGTTGTACTGAACTCATCTCTTGCTGAAATCTTTTCTTGTGGTGATTCAGTGGCTGTTGAAGCTGATGTCTGAGGTTTAGTTGCTCTGTGGAGTTTGATTATGGTTTGTGGGAAGAGGAAAACCACTGGACCAAACAATGATTATAACAGCTGAACACAATAGAGATACTTGATCAGTCCAAACATCTGCGGATCGTGGGCTTCAACAGACATGAATGAAAAAAAAAGCTAAAATATTCATGATAAAGATGAAATAGAGCAAAGTGGAAGGCAAACTGAAGAAATGACTAATGTTCACACATTTATTTTTGTGATCGTGGGACTGTGTTCAGTTTTGTCTTCTCAGCTTCTCGTTTCACACTCATCGTTTTTTTTTCACTCCAGTGGTCAACATCTTCCTAGAACTGATTAACAGTGTGTTTTCAGCAGAAACACCCGCAGACGTGATGAGGTTAATTTTGTCACCTTTTAAAATCATTTTTAAGGTTTGAATGCGTATTTTCTAAAGGGTTCTGTCTTTATTATCCTTATTTATATTATTTCATTTTTTGCAATAAAAGGCCCATAGTTTCTATAGTATTTTCTTGTTAAAAGTGTGTGCTAAATGAACAATTGTACGTATAATAGAATGAAATAAATGCATGTAATGAATTTATTTTGTATAACTTAATGAAATGGTATTGATTTAGATGATTTTGGGATGCAGTATATTTGATCAAACATGAAGCAAATGCAAGATGCATTGATTTAATCTTCAAGATTAAAGATGATGTAAGATATAAGTCACTTTGGGAAAAAGCAACTGCTAAATGCATCAATGTTAATGTGAAACCAAATCAACAAGCAACAAAAGGCCAGAGCTGAGTGACAGCAGAACAAAATCATGTGTTGGTGTTTAAAAACCTAAAGTTATTTTGCCCCAGAACCCAGTAATGAGGTTGAAGAATAAATATCTACATGTTTATTTAAATGTAGTACAAAAGGGACATAAAACACAATAATATATCTTGTATATCACTACAAGATTTCACAGTGGGAGAGAGATGTTAGTGCAATAACAAGTGCTCCACCAGTTTCATCTGTATCAGTAGAGACACACAGGACTGTCTAGATACACTTTATAACATGACTGAATCTGAAAACAATGCAAACATACACAAAACAAAGGCACGGCACAAAAGCACCCATATTTTTAGTATTTAGGTTCAAGAAAGTGAATAACACTTAAACAGAATCACAGCGTCTCATGGAGACTCCTGAATACACCACCTCATCCTCCTCTTGAACTCTCTGAAAGACAACATACAAATTCACATCACACTTGTTTATAAGAACAGAAAGACTAAAAACACTTCTAATGTTTCTAATTTGATCTGAAATGGTGTTTTGTTGTGTGTCATAGATCGAAAATACAAATGAACATAAGTAATCTCAACTGATCTCTTGCTTCTGTATTTACACAAGATGCATGTTTTGTTCATGTAAAGCATTCAGATTGTTCGATCTCTTGCTGA